TATGTATGTATGTATGTATGTATGTTTTGCTGATAACAGAGTGCTACTTTCTGAATGAGATGGTTGTGTTCCTTTTACAATAAGTAGGGAAAGGCAAGGCAACCGCAAAGAAGCCTGTTGCCAAGAAAGGCAAGGGAAAGCTCTGAAGGATGTCACTGCAACTTGAGGAAGAAGCCACTACTCGACTTCACGAATATTGGCTAACAGTACATCTCGAAATAAAGGCAAATGCCAATTAGAACGTAGATATCTTCAAACTTCGTTAGAATAACATCATTTCACCGGCACACACTCCGGTCAAAACGGTATGCAAACGTGCGTGTCTGCTGCTATGGGGGGTTTTTTAGTATACGGTTTCGATGCACCCTTATTGGATTGTAAGTTACTTAATAGAAATAGGTAGAAATTATTAGACAGGAGTGTAATATTAACTGCGTAATGTGAATGTGGTGCTTATTGACACGTATTCGGGGCATGATGTTACCTTCGAGGCTAGACCGCTAGCTACAGCCCCAACAACAATCGAATGTATTTCCCCATATAATTATGGAAAAAAAGATATATCATATCCTACATCCACACATACTTATAAATGAGTGATATTTCCGTTGATACATATGATCAATAAATATTCCTATTTCTGTTTTATGTCATTTCTACTGGCACACAATATTTTGGCGGCTTGTGGAAGTCGAATTGGTTCTGTTACCTACATTTCATATTTGTTTAAAAAAAATGTATGTTTATTTTTTGCTTAATATACAGTTTTAGAAAATACAATAAAAATGTATTTTTGGCTCTATGCAGACATTGCAGAGTTGCAGTCTGAACTTCTGAAGTATGTATTTCCTTCTTTTTTTTTATGTAAATATGCAGAATTGCAGACTGTCGAGACTTGAGGAGTACCGTACGAAACTCGGTCAATTGATTTGTATATTTTCCTAATTTTTATAATATTGGGACTGAGCTATAGGGGAAATGACTGGTCCCACACTGAAGTTCAGCAGAAAATATATAGTATTTGGAACGGAAAAAAAACCTCCAATTTTAAAACTTCTATTTTCGCACTGGACTATCAAGGACAGATCCAAAAGCTATTTATTGTAGTCACAGAAACATTTGATATGGTTTTGGGCACAACCTAGTTTCTGCTGTTCTGAACTTCAGCACATTTATTTGGGGGGTTTTTGGTTTTGTTTTTGTTTCTAAAAAACGTTATAGTTATCTGTCTCATTTGTACGCCACCCGCCAGGGCTGCCAGGCCCAGGGCCCAGGGGCCCACTGGCCCACAACCGGTAAGAGTTAATAACGTTTTTATGAAACACGCAAACATGCGAAAACCTCTCAAATGGAGGCAACCAAAAAAAAGTTATCGCCACGCGGGGGTTCCAAACATGATTGGAAGTTCTATACTGACAACTAGTAGTAGAGATTCTATGCTGGCAACTTTCTCTGTAGTAGTGGAGAGTAGGGCCGATTTTTAAACCGTGACATTTGCCCCTGGCCATGAATCATGATGCTTGTAAAATACAGTTCAATGCAACAAAAAACTTAAAAGCCGCTCGCTCACTCACACCGTAGTCAAGCTTTAGCATACAACTTCTGCGTAGGTGCTCTAGTTTTGGTACGTGTTGTTGAAATACACCGTGCATATACTACATACCACCCCACACCCAGTTTATGTACATTTATATATATATAGCATAATACTAGCTTACATAATAAATAAACATGTCCGCTCCTAAAGACCAACCCGAGGCTCAGGCTTCGTCGCCAAACCCTACTTCTGGGTCACCCACACCCGCTGCATCTGTACCCGGTGCACAGTTGGCTTCAGATCAATCTGCGGCAGCAAACTCCACAAATACATCTCTGTACGTAGGTGACCTTCATCCCGATGTAACTGAGGCACATCTGTTCGAGGTGTTCAACGCTGTTGGACCCGTTGCGTCTATCCGTGTGTGCCGTGACACCATCACACGTCGTTCGCTCGGATACGCATACATCAACTTCCACAACGCAGTAGATGGTATGTTTAGATTAACCTTGATTACATAAGTGATGTGGTCGCCTTGCATGTTGCATTGTCTACTGTCAATTTGGGTACATTGTATATGTTATGTTGGTTCACGAGGCCGGATTTCCTAATCTTTGCTTGTATAGTTTATTTGAGCCTCTGCCTCGCGTATGCAGTGTTCAATACTGCTTTCGAGTGTTTTTAGTTTTTAAGCACGCAGTTCAATTACTTCACTGCTTGTCCAGTTACTCAGTTGTACGTGTTCTGGTATGATTTTGTCTTTACAGCTGACAGAGCACTTGACACAATGAACTATGTCCCCATTAAGAACCGTCCATGTCGTATCATGTGGTCGCAACGCGATCCTGCCATGCGCAAGTCTGGTGCCGGTAACATCTTCATCAAGAACCTAGAGAAGACAATTGACAACAAAGCCCTATATGACACTTTCAGGTAAGGAGTTTTAATCGATACGTGCAGACGCACACAATGTCTCATAGGTGTCTCATAGCCCAAAGATGGCGTCAACGTGTCAGATTTCGACGATTCTGTTTAAGGTTGTTTTTGATACGTACAATTATATATATATTTACATATATACACACTACAGAATTTTCTTAGAATATCATAGCGGGAGAAGATTGGTATCACAGCATACTGTTGATTTTTGTACAGCCTTGTTGGTTAGTACTTGGGGTTATGTGTACTTCTTTAGTAACCAAATCGCAATTGAAAGTTTGTTTTTCTACATAAGTTAAGGGTATATATTCAAACTTCATTAAGCAAGTACAGATCCGGGATGTATTGACGTATGCGTTTATGCGCATACCAGTAGTTCTGACAGCCTTGCCGGAGCAATGTACGATTAACAATAGACGTTATTCTTAAACACGGGGATATCGCACTAGAAATTACACCAGCGACATCAACAGAAATATCTTGTCAGTAGCAGTTCTTTCACAGTGCTATTGACACAGTACACCAGGACTTGTATATAGGCACGACAATAACGTCATGAAAAGTACTTCTGTTTCGAATAAGTTGTCGCTTAAATGTACTGTGCAATTCGTTTAGCGCCGAGTCAATATAAATTGTGAGCTAGATATTTTATGTGTTCACATTTTCTCCCATGACACGCTTGCGCACATGTTTATATGTATATATATATGAGATTATATTATCTGGACGATGAAGAATTTACTTGGTCCGTGTTATCGAATGGGACGTAAGACCCCCGCACACCCTGTGAACAACACAAGTTGCTGAGTCCAGAAGTAAAGCACGATCTCATAAATACATACCTGTTGCCAGAGATCTCACATGCATATTCAACCCACTCTAATTCCGTATGGCTTGCTGTGTATGGTATACGATGAGTTGAACAAGGCAGAATAAGAAGTGTTTTTGTACTAGGTGTGAATGATGCAATGCGAACTTCATCACAAGTGTAGTGTACAAATGTATTGTCGAAGACCTTTCAGAAACTAATCTACGGCGTAATGTGCGGTTCATGCACGCACACCTTACCCTATGTGTATATGCAGTGCCTTCGGAAATATCCTGTCGTGCAAGGTCGTAGAAGACGAGCAGAACAATTCGCGTGGGTTCGGATTCGTGCACTTTGAGACAGAAGAGGCCGCACAGCTGGCCATTGAGAAGGTTAACGGCATGATGTTGCTGGGCAAGCAGGTATACGTGGGTATTTTTAAGCCCAAGAAGGAGCGTGATGGAGAGAAGGGTGATAAACAACAGACGTTCAACAACGTATTTGTGAAGAATCTGGCCGATGATGCTGGTGATGATGAGCTTAAGGCAGAGTTCGAGAAGTACGGTCCCATTACGTCGTGTGTTATTGCGAGAGACGACGAGGGCAAGTCGAAGGGCTTTGGTTTCATCTGTTTCGAAGAGCCTGAGCACGCCGGAAAGGTACGTATCTATTTGGTGTGAGTGAATGTAGGGGCCTGACGCAGTTTGCAAGCATTATATGTCTGCCAGGTAAGGCGTTTCGTATTGCGTCTGCATTAGGACTAAGTCAAATGTATGTAGCGAAGTATGGTGTGTCCAAATTGGTACTTGTTAGCATTACTCTAGGTTCCTCAATTGTACGCTGGTGTTTGCATGCTTGCGATGTACTAGTGTGTTGCATTCGATTTGAAATCCAATGCAATTCATGTTTGTCAATTGTATATATCCTGTATATGATAAGTGTGCTTGCTCTCTCATACACAGTATCTATTCTCATTTCTGTTCTATTTGGGCCATTTAGGCGGTAGAAGAGATGAACGAGACGGAGTTCAAGGGCAAGCCATTGTTTGTTGCGCGTCACCAAAAGAAGAACGAGCGCGAGAATGAATTGCGCGCCAAGTTCGACAACCTCAAGCTGGAACGGGCCAATAAATACCAGGGCGTAAACCTATACATAAAGAATCTGGACGATGACATCGACGAAGATAGACTCAGACAAGAGTTCGCACCCTTCGGTACCATCACATCGCACAGAATCTCACGGGATGCACAGAAGAACCAGTCACGTGGATTTGGGTTCGTGTGCTTCTCCTCACCCGAGGAGGCGACCAAGGCCGTCACTGAGATGAACGGCAAGCTGCTGGGTAACAAGCCCCTGTACGTAGCCCTAGCACAGCGCAAGGACGAGAGACAGTCGCAACTGGCCATGCAATACGCCCAGCGCGCACCTTCCATGCGTATGCCCGGACAAATGGGTACCGGTCCTCTTTACGCGTCAGGTGCACCACTATTCTACACCGGGCCGGGCATGCAGGGCCGCCCAGGTATGGTGTATCCCCCTCAGATGAATGTACGACCCCGATGGGTACCTCCTCAGGCAGGAGGCGCACGCCCCGGATTCAGTGGTATGCAAGGCTACCTACCCGGAGGGGGTGTACAGGGTATGCAACACGCCCAGAACCCGCAACAAAGAGGGGTGGGCCCACGAGGACAGAGACCTGTGGTCAACAGACCAGGACAGCAGGGCGGCCAGCCCAACAAGCAGAGAGGTGGCTTCAACTACTCGCCGAGTGTGCGTAACGTGCCCGGTGTAGGCGGACCTATGAATCAGTCAGCGGTGGGTGTCATGCCTGCGGCAGTGCCCCCCGTCATTCCGGGACAGGAGCCTCTAACGTCTTCTATGCTAGCACAAGCCTCACGTATGTGACCTTGTAGTTGTTGTGTGTGTTTGTCTTGTGTCTCGGAGAGATGTGCGAGTGGGTATACGTTTGGGGTTGGGTTTGATTTATTATGTGCGATCATCTGTTTAATTTTATATAGTTTAGAATCTGGCAGAATATGGTCGGCAATGGTAGGGCATATAGGCATCCTGTCGTTTTTGGAGGAGAGGGGGCGTGACAACGAGTTTTAGCAACATACAGTACCAGTCGCTGCCTGCGAATTACTGCTTGCGTTATGGTGACTGTTGCTAGAATGTTGCAGTTTCTATGTTTTTGTGTGTGCTCCGGCTAGAATATATTTGTGCAAGGTGTTGATGCTCCAGCACACCTGATATTAATTCATCGAATTCACAACAAGTTGGTATAGCCCATATATGTGTACGCAACGGATTCATAGTATGGTCGCTACGACTCTAATTTCTCTATACTGGAAACTCAGTGCATTGATCGTTAGTTGCATATCACCCCACAATACAGCGGAGGACCAAACCCAGATGCTCGGCGAGCGTCTGTATCCAATGATCGCGTCACAACACCCTGAGCAGGCTGGAAAAATCACCGGTATGCTGTTAGAGATGGACAAGAGCGAACTGCTGCACCTCCTCGAGAGCAGGGAAGCCCTCAACCAGAAGGTGTGTGGATTTAATTCAGGTTGAAAGTCATTGGAAAGAAGTGATGCTACGTGTTTGGCTCAAGCTTTTTTATTCATTTCCATCCAGTAAAACTTGTTTTATATATTATTTCTAACATATTGTTCCCATTGCATTTCCTCCCGTACCATCGGATCGTTTAGGTTGACGAGGCTGTGGCTGTTCTTCAGGCGCACGTGACATCTACACAAACGCCGGAACTTTGAGGAGCAAAAGGGGGGGGGGGATGATGCACAATGTAGCTCAGCTGTTTGTCGAATAAGAACAGTCTAGCCGCATCGATGTGTCCGAACAAAAAAATAAAAATACGTTCTCTCCCTGTATGGTGTATAGTGTTTTTTAATACTATTTGAATATCTCCGAGTTTTTGCCAGTACTCTCCATGTGTGGGAAATTGCGATTTAAGATGTTCGCCTTCGTCGTATATGAACAGTCTAACCGCATCGAGCTGTCCGAACAAAAACAAAAAAACGGTATCTTCTAGTTTAAAGGTGTATAGTGTAATTTTCCATTGAATATGGCGAGTTTTTGGAGTATTTATCACAATTTAAAAGGTGTATACAGACTTCACAACGTGCAGGGCTCCCATCTACTCATCTGTCCTACATATCGCCCTACGCCTGCGAGAATCGTAGTGGGTATATTAAATTACATATTTGTTTTGCTTGGACGGTATATTTGAAAATGTGGTATATTTGAGAAAGTGAGACCTCATTGCAGATGAGGTGTGATATGTACACAATATATGCTTGTTGCGCCGGCCGAGTTCTCTGGAATCGATCTATGCTCCAATCCACCATTTGTACGTGACAATTTCAGTTGAAGAAACATATATTCGCATTTATTGGTCCGCTTCTATTGATTACACTGAAAACGCCATAGTAGTATCCCTGCGACCAAGTTTAAATATTAAATCGAGCGAATTTCACCTCGCCAAATATTTTCAGACAAATTATAACAGGGGACAATCGTAGGCTGTGAACTTTATAAGCTTCAATTGTTTATTGAATACTACTCAGTAATTCATGCCTGTATAAATCACAGGCTTTGTTATAGATAACATTCTCTCGGTTAGTGAATGCAAATGGTACCTTCTGTATACTATCCATTCAATTTGAGATCACTCTTGCCTGTTAAATCTCTACCTATAAAAAGGTTCTCGAGCATTTTTACAATCAACGGCAACTTAACACATCTTATTTTTGACAACCTGATGTGAAGCTAGTACCTCAAATCTATTTGCTGCTATCTGAATGTCAATGTGGGTCTCGTTTTTAGGAGTACGAGTTCGAGCGTGCGGCGGGCCGCACAGATATAAGATATGGATCGTATAGCAATATTATAGAACTTAGCTACCGCGTATCGCGAAATTTACTTAATACAGAACTGCACAATCTAATAATTTGGAAGCGAAAACTGATAATAAAGGGCGAGATTAAAAACACGAGCTATTTTAATATCCTGAAACGGGGGTTTCTTTTTTTGCCAGAATCAAACGTCAGCGCGCGGTACTTAACACTCAATAGCATCTGACAGACTTGAGTTGTCAAAACGACATCCCCGGCGTCTGCAGCACAGCATATACCCATGGTGGTGGCACATTCAGTTGATTCGAGGGCACTGCCGTCCGACTCGGCTGTCAACTCCATACCAACCACCACTAACCCGTACACGGCACTGTCACAGAAGCTGTCGCCTGTAAAGCTTCTGTATGAGTCGCTCTCAGTCAGCGCAGTGATTCCAGCCATCACTCCTGACGCACAGTCGAATCCATTCTCGCCCTCAATCGCTCCCTCTATGTCCCCTAACACACTCCGACGTTGTGAAGGGATTGCACTTGCATTTGTGAATTGTGAAGTTTGTCCGACAAAGACAACGGTGGCAAGGATAGGTTTAAACATATTCTATCTGCTTTAATAGTAGGCACTTAGTTTGTATAGTTTTTTTTTAACTAAATACCTAGTTCGCCGAAACTTGTTATTTACACTGAAACACAACTCGTGCGTAGTGCTTCATAGAATGATCATACTGTCAGTCAATCTTAAATGTGGCTGATAAAGTGCATTTCAACAAATTAATGTCTTGTGGGTATTATCTGTGTACGATCTATAATATCTATTTGATACATAGATACAGAAAGAATTCAAGCGGCTGATAAAATGCAATTCAACGAATCAATGTCTTGTGGATAATCTGTGTACGATCTATAATATCTATTTGATACACAGATACAGAAACAACTATAGAAACACCTCAGCGGCATGACTGCGTTCTTCTGATAAAGAGTGTCTATCATCCGGATAAATCTCTAGCAATAAAATTGGAGTTTTAAAAAAATAAAGACATGACCATCTACATGGAATGAAAATTTAAAATGTGAGGGAGAAGGACGAGTCCGCAGGACATAAGGAGCGAGAGAGAAAAACCCCCGTATCAACGATTCAAGATATGCGATGATAGATAGCACCCACAGGCCACAGGCCACGGCCACAGGCCACAGGCCACAGGCCACGGCCACAGGCCACAGGCCACGGCCACAGGCCACAGGCCACGGCCACAGGCCACGGCCACAGGCCACAGGCCACGGCCACAGGCCACAGGCCACGGCCACAGGCCACAGTTACATCATGTGAAAAGCTAGGAGACCATGTCCTAGCTTCTGTTTAGTATTTACATCATTGTACATATCTACAATTTATACACACTGCACAAAACAGCTCATCTAGAGCAAAGTATATTTAAAAAGACACCAATGAAACGCCACATTGTTTTCTTCACTACCCCCCCCCCCCAAAAAAAAACTTTAGAACCCCCACTTTTTTTTACATTCCAGAATCCAGAATGGCAGGCAGACCGCAGAACTGAGAACTCAGAACAGCTGATCTGGTATGCGATAACGACACGTCGCAATGAAATTTGTGTCGTTTATCAAAACGACATGTCGCATCGAAACTGATCGTTTATGTAAACGACACGTCGCATTCATAAACGACATGTATCGCACTCATAAATCGACGTGTCGCAGATGAAAGCGACATGTCGGTTGACAGCTATGGTGTGACGGTTAGTACTTTAAGTGTTTGGAGATAGTAGCGATCTCAATTTTGTGGTGTGACGGTTGGTACTTTTGTCTTTGAAGTAACTGGCAGAAGGGCACGACTGTTTTGTCATTGTATCTGATGTTAAAGTTATCTGATGTTAAAGTTGAAAAAACACTGACGCAGTGATACAATGATAGACCGTGCTATACACTTAATAACTATAGAATAATCACACCGCATAGCTACACACATATACTAAAAATACTAAGTTAGTAGTTACTAGTTTCTAAATATTTATTAATATTTATTGTCTGGATGTCAGCAAGTCCAAGTAGCAACTGAAACACGACATACTAGCCCGCCCAACAAATAAAGGCGGTCGAAAACGCAAACGTGATATGATTAGCTGTCTTTCATATACGGGAATCGAAATGATCAAATACGACCATTGCGACCAATGCGACCAATGCGACAACGACACGTCGCATTAACAACAGTGTCGTTTTCTAAAACGACACGTCGCATTCATAACGACACGTGTCGTTTACCAGATCAGCAGAACAGAACATATTAAAATATTTACTGTTATTTAGAACTGAGGAGTCAAGAGAACTGAAAAGTGAGAACAGAACTCAGAACTCAGCACTCAGAACTCAGAACACTATCGTTGAATCAATAATCATGTGATCCACTGACGTTTGACACTTGACAAGTTGACAGTCTGACTGTCGGTGACTAACTGACTCTGTATCATGTATGTATGTATGTACTGTACATATTGTAGTATTCATTTACTGCACTATTTTTAGTGCTCATCAAGTCATCAGTGCTGAAACCATCTGTGAGTAGCTGTGAGAGTTGAGACTGTGACTGAAGTGATCACTGATCAGTCAAAGAGTGATCACTGATCAGAAATTCCGAATCTCACTGATCTGTCAGATTGCAATTTGAAATCCCTCGTCCACATTTCACCCTCCTTGCATAAGAAAAAACCTACTCGAACAATATTGAGATATGTACTCTTCATCAATATGTACTGCAATAATGTGTTTGCACAATTCACATGAGGATGCTGACCTCATCCTTGTGCCGCAAGAAGTACAGAACTACAGAATGTAGTTTATGTCACGATCGCACAAATATGATCATAGTTCATAGTATCGTATATGAAATACCTATCAACACACGATTAATATAAATAGCAAGATAGCTGACGCTGGTATATTAAAACCGAACGAAAAGGTAATTAATGAACCGTATTAATGCTATGCTGAAATCAACTTTTGTTGTCATCGTATATCTTTCGCACGGGTTCTCCATCTCAGATGCAAGCGGAATTCCTTCACGGCGCGAATACCTCTGCATATAAAGTTGACTTGTATTACTCGTCCTTATAGCTTTTTGTCGATGTACTACAAAAGTTTGTTTCGCTATACACAGTAGCTTCGTTCTATAACACTGTTCCACAATCCATATCTTAGACCTGTGCGATCAACCGCACGCTTAAAGTAGTACTCTTAAGAATGTGAGTCCCGCGAGATAACGACAAATATTTTCTAGATACCTAGCACGAATATTGAAATTTAATAGCATTAGAAGAAGCGTGAGGAGTATGCCGTTAAAATGCTTTTTGCACTATGTCGCGAATGTGTGATGACGATGTTCTCGATTGTATAAAATATAGATACGAACTTATAAGAACTCTATCATACCATATCTTAAGTGAAATAGTTCGCGCGTAGAGTACCCAACAGAGTTACCCTGCTAATTCTACCGCGAGATTTTTTGAAACTACTATGACAATATTAAAAGTTTACTTTAAGTTGGCTGCTAAGATGCTGGCAGTATATGGCGGTTGTAAATAGTATACTGGAGCGCTCCGTGCACGTAGCACCACAGAAGAGGATTGTCGTAGACCCCATTACGAAATGCGTTTTTCTTGATCAAGAAAGTATTGTAGTGCTTTTTTTAAAACAAACTTGCCTTGTGTGTCAGCGATTTTGGCGTTACACTTTTTTATTTCTTTCTTTGTTGCGCTTTTCGCAAAACTTCAGGCTCTGACTTGGGAGATATTTTGTCGAGTGTGATCGGGCACGTAGCGTCTGGTATGAGCCCAAGAGAGATAGAAGACTCGACGATCCGAATCAAACGATATGCATGCTGCATTTTTGTGCATGTCCACATGTGTACAATCACATTGACGACGAAGTGGGTTTATGAAGTCACTGTTGATACAAAATGTCGAGCTGTATATGCCAACATGTTCACTCACCGATTTTACTGTGCTGGCTTGCACGGTACTCGTCATACTTACTCTGCTCACTAGTGCGCGATACCTGGACTACAGTTCAAGGCAAACGGTCTATGTGGCACGCCAAAGGAAGAAAAAAAACTCATATATTCCACAGTACTCGCAGTAGGACAGATACTTTGTTTATATACATGGTAGGTAGCCACTCGCATGCCCCACCCTTGCTGTTCAGCGCCTTCCGAGTAGTACGCTGCGTCTCATATGATATTGAGCCGGAAAATAATCTATACCGCTCGTCGCCCATTTGGTTTGGACCAACCACCACCGCTAACAGCAAGCTTGCAGACATGTGTAGACATCTGTCTGTATATATATATATATTTATATACTTGCTCATGCTTTCCACAATACATAATGTGTACGTGAATAGACGCTTGCAATCAAGCAGGCACATATACACATACATGTATATATAAACATACTAGCAGACGAACTAAGGAACACATATACACACGTGCATATAAGCTTTTTGTGGCGCTGCATAAACAGAACCATGCATAGGCTTGGTATAGGCGATAGTCTAGATGCGAAATCAGGTGGCAAAATTCGCTGCCTACGACTGTGTGATCACTCGTCAAATACAACTGAAAACTCTGTAAGACAGCTGTCAGTACTCAGCTATGTACTCGATGTGCGTAAACTGTAAAAAATGTGGTCTATAATATTCGATGTTTACGTAACACATGCAGTTGTTGATAATTTAATGTACTTATCACTTCAGTATCTGAAATTGGTGATATGTGTGGCGCTATGTGCTGTATGGCGTGTAGATGTACATAAGACTGTTGATTCTTGGCGTGCGAAAGTCCCACATTTCTGGGTGTTTTCATTTCATACAATGAGCGAGAACGCACACCAGTTACAGCCGTTCCAGCATTCTCAATCACATACTCGAGACGATTGTATGATCTGAGAGTACGCTGTAATAACTTTAACGCAGGCGCTGCCTCCGCCCCACTGAGTTGTTGTTTTGACAAATTGTGGTGAGGACATACGTGTACTGTCGTTGATATGGGTCAATAGGATCATGGCTGCCATGCATGTTCATTGATTGTACACCACAACAATCGCAATCCAAGTGCAAGTCCGACGGGGAGTGGCAGTAGATAATGTTTTTCCTATATGGGTTATACAATCGTATATATGTGTATTATATGTATAGTTCAGTTGAATGCCATATGGGTGTGCAGTTTTGCTTTCGGGCGGGCGGGCGCTTGTGCGCTAAAACCGGGTTCAATTCCAAGCGATTCCATGTATCCATCCAATAGCGCTACCTCGGAAACAAGTCTGCATATGGCTTTTCCGTAGCATATAGGCTGTCTCGTCCCCTCAAACGTGTAAAATCCATCAAAACTAATCGAGTGCACAGGCAAGGCCACTGATCCCATTCGGACTTGAGCAATGCCAGCACGATGTGAAAGTGCAATAGTCTCCCCGTTTCGAATGAACTCATCGTACTTAGCGTTTGCTGCACCTTGTAGCAGTTAGTTCAACTTTTTCTGCTCGCCACACACTTGTGGTCACTGTAGTCTCCAAGATAGTCTGCACCCTTTTCTCTCTCATCATCTCCCCCATACTTGGGGTGATATGTACCACTGGTGTTATACTGGAATTCTTAGCCAATTGTGGCTGTCATTTCGCGCTAAGATCATTCTCACAAGTCAGCATCCTGTACATTCACCAAGAGTGTGAGCACCTTTTCTGCACGGTGTTCATCATCGTTGGCTCGTTTCGCGAGCACACGGCAGATATCATACACCTCATCCCTACCACTCAATACCACCCGCGAGTTGCCACGCTCAGACTCGCCTACATTGTTATTGCTCTTGGCTTTTGCACTAGTATCAATTTGAGTGGCTTCCTCCCGTTGCTGGCCGTCCGTATGGACCGAGATAACAGCCTGTACGCAGTTGTACGTACACACCAATAATCGCCGCAACATATCCAGCTCTTCATCGTCTCTACGCAGCTTCAACATACTCACCAGACACGGTACCACTCCCGCTTTCACCAACGCAAGCGCGCCATCAGTTGATGTGCTGAGGTTTACAGCCACGCGATACGCCTGCGCTCTTCGCTCAGCGGTGTAGTGACATGCTGCGTTGCCATTAGAAATCACAAGTGGTGCCTGTGCAAGTCCAGCATTAGTGCTTTCCTTCTTCGCGCGTGCGTGCGACTGTGTGTGTGCTCGTGTATCCTTGTTGGTAGACTTATGTACGAGGGGCGTGAATATCCCTCCAAGTGTATCGCAAGCCATAAACTTCACAACATAATCGGGCACTTTGCACGCTATGAGTGCGCTGTGGTGCTCCTCGCACGTTGACAGATTCAGCGCAGCTTTCAGCGCCATCACGGCCTCAGCATCAGATGGGACATATGTAATCTTTGATGTGGCACTCTCTCCGTGACTCTCCTCTTCGGATGCTACAAGTACTTGTAATTTCTCTTGTTGCGGAGGAGGTGTAGGCGCATGCTTGTGGGTGTGTATACTAATGTTCGCATGCGTATGAATTCCAGTAGTATTCTGTGTGTGAAGAATACTGCTGTCTGTCTCCATCTCATCAAACTCACACGACCCGTTCAGCTCGCGTGCGACCTTTTCTAACAATGCACACACAGCCCCGACTGCCTGCTGCATCTCCGAGCTATTCTCCACATTCACAGCCATATTAGCAATCACCGCCAACGCATTCACACGTCTATCTACACTCGCACTCGATCTCTTGCCACGTACAACATGCCTCTCCCTATCCTCAGTCATATCACCTTCGCTCACACTATCTGACGCCAAGATCTCCGCGCACGCCTTGTCAACAAGTCCATATTTTCGGATACTCGCGTGGTTGTGAGTGCTTGCTGCTGAGTTCACAAGCGATGCCATCAATGCATGCTCATTCGTTGCAACTTCCATTGTACCAGGTTTATCTTGTGCCAACAGCCGACCTATCTGGTTAGTGGTGTGCGTGTCGTATGTGTGCACATTAGTGTCGCGTGTGAGCACAGTCCCCGCCTTGCTGTTGTTGCATTCACTGGATAGCGCACTGTCGTGCAAGTCATCCTTAGTGTCAGTCTCTGAGTGGCTGTCGGAACTGCTTTGTCCTTCCAGTACGCCCATATCCAGATCAAACTCGTAGCTTTGATGAGTGTGTATTTTGCATTCATTGGTAATAACTTCCTGGCCACCCTCATTATCACACGTACTTACTTCAATACTACAAGCACATGTACATATTTCATTGCATGCACAGGTACAGGTACTATCTCTATTATGTCCTATACATGTTGCTCTGCCTAGTCCAAGATCAACAGCATTCTTAACCAGGAAGTAACCCCCAACTCCTGCTACTATCAGGCCCAGCGCAGTACCCACTCCCTTCGACATGACCAACAGACTGTAAAATAGCTTTACAATAGGGGAATTAATGTGCACTTGCGAGTTTACAAGTGATCTAGTATAGCAACCAGCTATTTGATATTGTTTTCACTTAATCTATTGCATATATGTATATACGCGAACTATCACGTGGTGTTACGCGTAGATCTCACATTCGTATACAAGCACTCTCGTGCGCTTTGCAATTTACATACGCACTGGAAGTAGTAGTAACTTGACAATTTTTATAAAAAATCTAAAAAATGATTGTACGGATCTATGCTGCAAGCTGTAGATTGTTGGTGACGCATCAGCGTGTCATCACATGGCCCACCAATTTCTGAAATTCAATTTGGCGGGACGTTCTCAAATCTCCCAAGCCAGCCTGCTGCGGTTGAAAAATGTATTATATTATTTTTTTTTGTTTTTAAAAAAGAAACAAAATACATACTCTCCTTTTAAAAATAAAAATAACAAATTTATACAAAACCCTAAACCCCTAAAACTCTAAAATCGTGATGTGTTTTTGTGGCAGTAGGAGTGACACGAGAGTGTATTCTATTATTTACACAATCGCTTGATAAAATATAGGATCGATACATACTATTACATCAATACTAATAACATATGTATGATGCGTTCGTAGAGTCGACATATAAAGATGGAAGATATGATTATTCAGAATGAATCTACTTTCAGAGATATGGAGAATGTCAATGAAGGGGTCACCAGACTCAGCATGTCAGATACAAGTACATCTAGAGATAACAGGTCTATGGTACCGACAAATGAAGGAGATGTGCAGATACTAGAGAATGTCGTACATCCGCCGCCATGTGTGCTAACAGAGGCTCAAAACGAAAAATTAGTGAAAGAGAAGCTGGTTTCACAACAACTGATTTCACGCTATGAGAAGGTATCTATCTATATAT